GCCTGAGATAGCTAACTCTCCCATACCACGCTTGGAAAGCCTGTGTGCAGCAGGGCACCTGGGTGTAGCATCTGTATTTCCATGTGCCTTGTGAATGTACCTCCAAGATCACAGACCTATTTTGCACCAGTCATGATGCCATGTATCTAATCTGTTCACATCCAGAAGAATCTCCACCGGTCAGCAGGTCTTTTCAAAACATGAACAGTGTGAGTGACATTTAATAAAAAGTTCCATTACGTAAGTTTTTAGCGGAATTTTTTAATGTGGCTAGAACTATGATTAAACCAGTCTAGAACACGTCTAGCTAGAAAAATAACTGAAGTAGATAAACTGCTGATTTTCTACTGGCATCAGGGCAACTTATGAACTGTACAATGACAACCCTATAAAAACATAAGGAATTTTTATTCAAATAGGCATGCTAGACAATAAACGTCCAACACAGATTCATACACCAAAAGGATCCACAAGTAAACGTTCCAGCTTTCTCTTCCCTTCCCGCTTCTCCAGGCGTTAAACACTACCACCTCCTAAACAGTAAAAGAACCACCCTGAACTACTTGCTTAGTAAAGTCTTCAGATTTTGCAATATCAAGAAATTGCAAGCAGTCCAGCATTGCTATGCTGCAGTTAGAAAGACAATTATCTCTTAAATTTAGGGCAGTAGTTTTTAAAAAAAAAAACAAACAAACCTGACCTTTCCATATTTCATCATGGAAGATTTCCAGCTACATGGGTATGACATTCAGATGAAATGTTCTGTCTCATTACCACTTCTTGAAGAGAAGCTTCTAAGAATGACAGGAGTTCTTTTCCATTGCTTAACTGTCTTGAATTCATTAAGGCTCTTCTGTCTGTTGTCTCTGTTTTACAGAGAAAACACCTGGAAGTTCTTTAGAAGGTACTTTGCTACCAAAATATCCTGATCAGACACCAGATATAACCTCCAGCTGTTGGTCCAGTCACTTAAGTTTGAGTAACACATTAAAACAAATCATTCTGATACTACCTTGTAGGAGACTGCGGTCCTGTAATGGCTAATTTGGTTTCAGATGTACTCCTGATTCATTTCCAGAAAAGCAAAGCAAGAACAGTAAAAAAACCACATGAGACAACAGAGTGGCAAAAAAGACTAAACAAAAGTCACAATCCACCTTTCTCTGCTAGTGTTGGGTTCTTCATGGCCATATTTTTACGACAGGCAACTGTACTTCAGGTATGAATTAAGGCTGCAATCATTCTCTTGGGTTTTTTTTTCATATAATGAAATTTCTAAGCTTTCCACAAGTAGAGGGTATGTATACAGCTTACGCTGTCTTAAACAAATACACAGTACTGGTTAACAAAAACTATTAAAACTGCTGCTTCAGTTTGACATTAAAAATAACGTCATAACAGAATATATAGAGTTGTCACAAGCCATTTCCGTAATCTCTTTCCGTTGCTGGACCCCATTTGCTAGTTCATATACGCATAATTACATATTTAACACAATCCAATTTCTCATCAGGTTGCATCATCAAGGTCTGTACTGAAGAACACTGGTGCTCCATTCTGACTCACTTGATTTTCAATACATTCCTCTGGATCTTTATTTATAAATCTTTCACTTGCAGGAAAATTAAACCATCATTGATAAATGAGATTATTATATTGTAGCATCACCTTTTGTAACATCAGCTTTTGTAATAAAGCCCTTAAGAGGATTATGGTGACTGTGTCCCCAACTTACTCAAAAGCAAAGGCTGATTCCACCATTGTTACCTGGGTAGGGGAGGAAGCTGTGCCAAATCTAAAGCAGATCTCCTGTCAGCACACTTCAGACAGAGTGCAAAAATTCATTCCTTTCCCACCATCAGGGGTGCTTTTGCTGATTCTGCTTAACTTCGTTTCACCACAGAAACCTGCAAAAACAGTAACACATACCTAAAAGGGAAATCTTTCTCTTTTCTGCATAGACACATTCTGAAGGCTGTAACTTCTCTCTTAATATCTGTAAACCTTACCCCAAAATAAAAAATGATGACTTATGTCAGCAACATAAAAACTAAGTGGTTGTTAGTTATCAAAATGACAGGGTGGTCATTACAAGTAGTTGTCTATTTTGTTCTCTTCACATTTTTTAATTAATAAACAGTACCAATCTAAAGTTACTATAGTTCAGAGACAAAAGATGCCAGTACCTCCAGCCTGTTCAAGAGCAATACACTGGCATCAGAATACCCTACTTCACAAGCAACACCCAAGCTTCACCGGAGATACCAGCCTATCCAAGGTTAGACTATAGGAATCTGCAATGTCCAAAGATACTGTGAAGTATGATTTCACTTTTTTAGTTTTTTCTTTCTGCTTTTTTTTTTTTTGAGCAATGGCTTACAGCCTCAGCACAAGTGACTTCAAAAGCAAGCCAGCTGCTTGTAAGAGTAGGCTGACTTGTTTTCTTTCTCACATTCTGGGAAAACTGTGTTCTCCACTAAGAGAAACAAAACATTTTATAGCACAGTTTCTAAAGAATTTAGGTTCTTGATTTCTTTGTTAACAAGCCAAATGCCTTATAGGCAATGGTGAAAATGTGAGGATCAAAACACATTCCATGCGTCTGCTGCTGCTCTGCTCAATATGCAGAATAGGTTCTTTATGTCCTTTGGTTACCAGTCCCAGTGTGAAAATACTCAGCATCTCAACGACTTCCAACTGCTGCATAGATTTTTGATACTGACATATAACAACCACTGCTGCTCTAATATTTTCTAAATTATAAAGCAGAAGACAATTATATTCAATTAAGTGATGGAATACCGCCCCCGCGAAGCATAGCTGATAATCAAAGAGCAAGAACCCCAGGTTCTTCACGCCACGAGGGGTGCTGAGGCAGCACTCTCAAAGGAAAGGACAAAATCCTCTGTTGCAAAACTCTTCTGGAAAGCCACATGAAAACTTTTTCTTAGAATAAAGGAAGTTTAATCTTAGGAAATGCTTAGAAACAAAAATAGGAAGATAATGCAACTTCTCTAACCCAAAGTGTCCACAAGACAGCTGGCCAGCGCTTCATCTTCTCTCTGATAGCATGAAAATGCAAACACATTTCCACTCTGATGGTCTTTTCCAGCTGACTTAAGGGATGGGATTCAGTTTGCTTGCTGATTGGATGACCTCTGTAGTCTACTTAGTTTACACAGCAAGTGGTTATCAACAACTTACTTCTTCCATTTGAGGGTTTTAGTTTTTGCTAACACACAACACAAACATGAGATCCTTGGGGACAAGGATCGGTACTTTCTGAAAAAAGGCAGTAATAAAAAATAAAGCAGTAATAAAAAGCAATAATCAGACACCTAGCTTTCACATACCTCAGGTCAAACACCCAGGAGTTGAGACATTCACAATCACTTCTTGTTTCTAAGCATTGAAGCTTGAAGGATGCTCTTTGGAAAAGGAACATGAATTACCATGAGTGGAGCTGAATCCTGGGCAGCTGTAGCAAAACATCTTGCAATTCACCTGTTTCCTATATTAACTAATTGCTACAATTTCAAACTTTCCTGACAGCAACAGAAACTTTGGAATACTCTAGTTAATGAGGTACTAGAAGTGAATGGCAAAATAAAAGAATCTATCAGCAAAATAGAGAAACTATGAACAAGAAATACTTGTATGACCCAAAAAACATAAGGCTACTACGTACTGTAATACGTGGATCTCCTTCCCGGGGACAAATGCCATGTTATTATTACAAGTACAGATGCTAAGGCCAAACCCAGAAGAGTTTTACTATACAGACAAGGTAGTGTATCTGCATAAAATCATCCAAAAAACTGGAATAAATAATTCCAGAAATCTGGAATAAAATCTGCCAAAGAACTAGTGTTAATATATATATTTTTTTTTAATCATGTATTTTTGTGGTACTTTTCAAGTTACTGAAATTCTTAAAGCATATCTTTAATTAGAAGAAGTTTGCCTTGGGAAAGGTTTTCTGGGATACACCTACAGGAGAACTGTAATGAACAGCTCAGCGTAAGAACGTGTTGGCAAAAAGATACATACCGAACTGGTGGTCAAATAAGCCAGCCTTACAAATACACCTTCAAGCTATGTAAGTGCCACCTCAATAAAAATAGTGACACCCCTGACATTACTATATGAGCGAAGTATAGAAGTTTGCTGACCTAAGAAAGCACCTGTGACTCAGAGAGAAATTAATGGATCACAAAGTTTAGAAATTAACTTGAGAAGAAAAAAAACCAAAAAGCCTACAGATCATCATGCTCCCCAAGAGGAAGGCATCAAGGGAATGTTAAAAAAAGTTATTTAAACAGCAACATGACAATTAACTGACAAAAGGTCCTGCTAATTTTTTTGTAATGCATTAGACAAAAAGTCTGGAAGCTATTAATGAAAGAGTAGAAAATTCAAGTGTTTGTGATCATATCATTAACACTTGTTTTTTTCCTACCCTACACCAACGGAAGTCACTTCAGAATGTTTGCTGATGTTTATCATTAGCTGTAACAGGCCGATTTCAAAATCCCCACATTCTTTGTTGAAATCACTGTCTCTTTAACTACACAAAACTTAACCCTCAGCTTTTCAACAGGCAGGCCCTGTCTAGCATGACCCAGAACTGCAGAGGCAGGACCAGGCTCTCCAAGGCCATATAGCGCTGGGCCACACACTTCACTTTTTAAGTGTAGAAAATCTAAAACTTTGTAAGTGACCTGGTCTATGAATGACTCCAGTCCCACCCTGAGCACAACAAACAAAGGAATTCAAGTTCTAACGCAAGCCAGGTGTTTGAGTTCCAACCCAGGAACGGAGAAGGTAAGTAATCCACATTTTAAATTAGTCAAGCATCATTGGGCAGGAGGGGGTGAGATAAGGAAATGGTTCCAGATGTTACCATGCGCTCAAAGCAAGGAGCTGAAACGTGTAACAATACAGAAAACTTGTGTTTAAGCTCTACTTCACAACAGCAGAAGAAATCACAGAACAAGATGAAAATATAGCTATAGCTTTACTGAATTCTCTTTTGAATACAAAAGACCTGTCACACTGGATAAGGCAATAGAGTCCACATTTTCTTTGTATAAATACGTGCAAAAATCATCATTTATGGTTTTAAAAAATAAATTAGTGTTCTGTTCTCTTCTTGTTGTCTTTTCTTATCTTTTTGTTCTTTCCTGCTTGTTTAGATGATTCTTCCTGAAATAACAAACAAGCATTTCAAAATTTGATCAACATTCTTATATACTATAAGCATTCTCTCAAGATCACACATGATAATTATGTGTAGTATCAACAGTGTTCATAGTTTACCGGGATTTACAAAATTTGAGCTGTATAACATTTAACCACTGAGTTCAATTAATCTGTCTGCTCATCTTGCTGTTTAGAAACTTCTGCCTTCTGCAATGATAAAATCATAGACACAGCCAGACAACAGAATTATATAGTATAAAAGCCTTCTAAGCCATTTCCACCCACGGAAGAGGTTACCAGTACAGGAATACTTCCACACTACACTGCAGAACTGCTTCTAGTGTGGATGTGGCCTTATCAAGAGAGAGACTGGACACCAGTACCTTTAAACTACCTCCCTAAGCAAAACAAACCTATACTGGGAAAACCAAAATTTTGCCAGTCTTGCTGGATCAACATTGTAATGTACAGCTCACTCTTACTGCCAGTTCTGAAAAAGATGATTTTTCTTCAGTAGGCATTCATCACAAGCACTCCCCAAAACGGTGAAGGAATCTGCCACTACACCTGACCGAGCCTGGGACATTTTAATTTTCTCCCTTCTACTTGCACGTGGGACAGAAGCAGAGCCTACCCAGGATGTTTGAATTCTGCTATTCTGAAGAGAGTTAGCTAAAATAATACTTTTTCCAAGAGCCACATCCGTGGTACTACAATAATAATTACTAGAAGTCCATCTGTTTGGTTTTTTTTTTTTTTGCTGGGCAACAATAACAAAACACATTTGTTAAGAACTTAAATCAGACTCTACTTCTTTGTTGTGTATTAAAAATAGAAAATAAGTAACTAACTTGGTACTAAACATTCTCTTGATGGTTAGAGTTTCCTTTAATTTTTCAAGCGAAGCATTCAAATAAGAACACTGACAAACTGCCAGTAAGGTAAATCAGTAAGTATACCCAAGCGCTTCTAAAATGTAAAAAACAAGTAACTGAAAAGTGCAGGGCGGGGAACGGAGAAGAATGGTCAGCTCTCAGCCACAGCAATCTTAGATATTGGTAAGAAAAGATAACTGACAGTTGCATACTGTACCCATTAGTAATTATTTCTCACTGTCTTAAACTTGCTATTATTAGCAATTACATACTATAACATAGAGAGCTGTATCTAATAGGCTGTTCTGAGGATGAAGAAAAGAAATTATGAAAACCAAGAATATCAGGTGAATAAATTCTTAAGTCCCTTAACAAGTAAAATGCCACCTACAGATATTTGGAACTTTGCCTCCACAGTTATTTAAGCTGCCTTGAAACATTTTCTTTTAATCTTTTCTGTAACACTTGATGTTACCTTGTTTGGATTCTTCTAGTCTAGACTTTTTTTTTTTAATAGTGTCTATAATCTATAATTCTGTAAACTTCTTTGGTCTAATCAACTTTCACTTTTTTAAACTGCATGCTAGTGACCATGATTCCCCAGCTCAGTCTGCCAATACACTAGAACCAGTGGCACAGGTAAGCGTGAAAAACAGTAGCTTCCAATTTTCTGAACACACCAAAAGAGGCATTTGCCCTTCCCATCCTCCCCCAACCCTCAAATTTGTGTTCTGGACCAATGTCCTCGACCGTTGCCACCGTTCTATTGCAAACCAGGTCACTAACTTCTTTGGAAGTTCTTCAGGAGTCTTTGCCCTGATCCTGTGCATAGGATCAGCGCATCAAAACAACCAGAGGATGACACAGGCAGTTACTACTTTTCTTCTGACTTCATCTGGCAGTGATGATTTACACAAGTTCACATACAACTGCCTTCATCCTAAGTGGCAGAAACTTACCGCTGAATGCACATAATTGTGTTCCACAAGCACATTTCTTGCACAATTGTTTATATGTTTAAAGCGATCTGGTCCTAAGAGAATACCTCCATACCAGCGGGATACCACGACTAACACATTGCGGACATCCAAAATCTGTGTTTTTTTTTAAAAAAAAAAAAAAGAAAAATAAAGAAAAGAAAAAGTTGCTATTTTTGCTATTGGACGAGGCTAATAATAGCCAGAGGGCAAGCTTACATATTGATACCTAAAATGCCATAAGCTAGTACTGTTGCTATGTGCAGGAGTTAGCAACAGCACCTGGGTAATATGTAAAAACCGCTGCATTCTCCAGGTTTGAGTCTTAGTCCCTTACAACCCAGCAGTTGCTTTCTGAATTAAAAAAGGCACATATCAAGTTCACACAACATGACCTAATTGTATTAGCAGTTAGGATTGAAAGGACCTAAACAACATTTATAAAGCTTTGTAAAGTCTATCAGTAACAAAATCAAGTAGAGAGTTAAACAGAGTGATGATTTCTTTTATTGCAATTAAAGGCAAGAAACATGGAAGGCCTTCAATACTTACTTTTCACAAAATCTGAATGAGACCTAACTAGACTTGAAAACTAACACTTATTCCACCTTACAGCAATTCTGTGCCCAAGATCTTCCCATCGTCAGCAAACACTAATAACAGAGGGAATAACAATTGACTAAGTATCACAGAGAAAAACACATCTTGCCAAAACAGAAGATACCCATCGCTGCATGGAAACACGTAATGACAACCACCAGTTAGTATTTTTGCTCAAATTAGTCTGGAGTGATTAGCGACCACGATCCTGAATTTGTCCCTCAAACTAGGGCACTCACAATGTCTGTGGAAGGCCTTCACTTACAAGCAGCTTTCTCTCAAGTCCAAATGCACACACAAGGCTTGGCACCAGACAGGGCAAATGCAGCTTTATTTGCATAAGGCTGAGCAAAACCACTGTGGTCTGCAAGATGTCAGGGTGGTTTGGTGGAGGTGAGAAAAATCCCCTAAGAGGCAGCTGTCAATAAAGCATGTTAACAACCATTCATCATCTCCACTAAGGAGGAAAAAAAAAAAAAATTTGACTAATTTAGAAGATTGTCGTTTGTGAAAACTGAAATAGTCTTAATTTTTTTAAATTAAAAGGACAATGTAAAAAAAAAAAAAAAAAAAGAAAGGATTTGGGCAGGTTTTGTGACCGGCACTTTCCACTCTGCACATTGACCATGAAGTCTATGTATAGCAACTCTTCACAGTAAACAGGATGCCAAACAGAGTCGGGAAATTTTTTAACTCTAACTTTAAGCTCAAAAGAATTAATCTAAAATACAGTTTCTTGTAACCGGAAAGTGCTATCTTGACTGAAGTGCTAGGTTTATCTGAAAAGAGATAAGATTTCTATTGCAAAAGTACTATGAGTAGAGCAACAATAGGTGTATTAAACTCCCTAATTTTCATGCCCATATCTTTTCCTAAGTGCTTATAACAGAAAAACTCCAAGACCTATGAACATCTAGAAATCAGCACATAAACTATTTTAATCTTTCCTTAGGAGTGCAAATCGCACTTTTGTGATCCCTACACCAGTACACTTCCAAAACAAAAATATTGCCAGTAACTAGGACTAGAGATGGGGATGATCCACATGATTTAGACTCATTCACATTTGAAGGGGGAAACTTCATGTCACTTTCTGAACTTTCTATGGAATTTCTATGGGATTTCTATGGAATTTCAAGTGTGCAGACACTGTAAATCCGGTAACTTTCAAAAGTATGTATTAACGTGCTGAGAAAAAGCTGATAAGCTCAAAACAAACTGCAGTGCAGTAACTGCAAAGTTGCTTCTTCACGATATTTTTATTGCAATGTTTTCACACTTACCACATATACTTGCATACATTACATAAAGTAAGCTTTTCCAAGCAAGGTTTCAGTCCTTTAGGAAGTTTGAAAAAATTGTAAATGGAAAATATCAAAATATTTCCATCAACTGTGTTGGTTAAAAAAAAAAAAAGAAAAGCTTTTTGGGGGAAAAAAAAAAAAGGCAGCTTTGAAACAGACTCCAGGAAGAAGAGTTACAGCATATTAGGCAACAGAATATGCAAGTAAGCAAATGATGAGAAGAGAAACCCCTTGTTGTGAAGGGGACAAATCTAAACCTCAAAATTAAAAACAATAATTAAGTGTGGTGATATAGCAAAGTGACTTGAGGCACTGCGTAAGGTGCATCCAGCTGTCCCCTACAGTTAGAATACTTTATTTGTGGTTTTACTAGGGCTTGCATCACGCCACTGAATCAAAACCTATCAAGCTCAATTCACATTCAGTAGCAACTTTGCCAAGGGAATATTATTGCAATGCTTGAAAACTAAAATATATGTGAGTATGAGGGCTAAGAACCCAGAACTGGAACAGGACAAAGAAACAGATTAAGTGCTCAGAACAACTTCATTCCTTCACTCCCACTTCTTTTTGCATTTTAAGCTCTACTCTCCAAGTTCAAATGTGTGTCTTTTTATTATGAATATTCAAGAAAACTGAAAGGCAGCTGTTACATTCTGTTAATCAGCTTCTTGCAGTCTTCAGTTTTTTTACATACCTTATATCATATAGTAAGTACAGGAATCAGAACTTACTTCCTTTAAACCATTGCCAGTATTACTACCACCTACAAACCACCATTTGTTTCTATGATCCAAGACTCAGAAATCCCAATTTACTACATGCATGCACCAGTGTAATTTTTCTTTCACCTTTGAGAAAGGTGAAATCTCAAAGGTGAATTTGGCTAAGCAGAGTAAGAATTAAAATAATCTTGTAGAAGTTTATGTACATTGCAGTGATTTTTAAAATCTGTTCAAGACTTCCAGAAGTCAAAGATTAATGTCTATAACCTGCATAAGATGAAGAAGACGTCCACCTGCTGCTGTCTCTCCATCATCTTCACAATCCTGTAAGAATGTCTGCTTATCTTCACAGTATATTCTTAAAAATAAATAATAAAAAACTCAACATAAAACAGATTTTAAAAATGTCAATGAACTAATATTTTCTCATGATTAATGAAGTCTCAGATCTTTCCTATGCACGTGTATCAATTCTACTTCTCTACTAAGGACATTCACATGAAAACAGGATGAGGCTTAGGGTAAACCACAAATATTTATCGGTACAGTAGAACAAGTTTTGAGAAAATTTTTACACAGACTTTAGCTACTTCAGGTTAACTTCAGAGTCATTACCAGCATAAAGTCCCTAAGCAGAAAAATCTTCAGGTTTTTAGCCTAATAAATTATACCTAACTGAAACCAAGTCTATCAGATATGGATTCAAATTACAGTACACACCCAGGCATTGGAAGAACTCTGACAAAAATACTATGAATCAGCAGTTAGCCCTAGATTTCATCAGCTGTGAGAAACTATTACTGAAAGTCACCTTCAGATTCTTCATGCCATCTGCTTCCTCAGGGGGCACTCCAGAAAGCTTTGGGGTGTATTGTTTCATATAAAGGACAGCTGCCCAGGTTTAATTTTCCAGAAGTAATGCTCAGAGATCTACTGTTTGTTATCAATTGATTTCATAACTTCCAAACTCGGTTAATGCACATGTGAAACAATGACAAAGAGACTTCTGGTAGTAGATGTTGCTGCTGCTTTTCTGAAGTGTATTTAGATAGTATAAGTGAAAGACGTCAGATCAGCAGCAACAACAGAAACCCCTTTTTACAGAAACCTTTTACTCATGTAGACTTTTTAGGAAAGTAAGCTTTCGCTTGCTCTTATTTCATATTTCATTAGGATCACGCCAGGATGTACATGAATGGATCAGTGTCTATACATGCTTTTTCAGATGACCGGTTCCTCTAGGAAGGAATGGGGCTCCTTTCACTGTCCCTTACATTCCCCAGAAAACCTACATCACTACCTGGACCAAGACCATTTCATTTCACATAAGCTATGTTCACAAAAGTTGTGGAAGACAGACCACTGTCAAACTCATTTTCCCTCCTGAAGTTTCCCATATTTCAGCTGTAATTTCATATACCAGATGTATGCATCAGGCTTTCTGTTTCAACTCTTTATTTGCAACTATTTCTAAATATAATCGGGGGGGGGGCGGGGGTTGAGGGTGAGGCAAAGAAGGGAAGTGACTTTGCCCAAGTGAAAACACATTTAGTTCAGGATGACGTAGCATCTCCATGCTCACATACTATACCAAGTATAACAACACACGTTCAAATCCACTTTTAATCTTTTTTTATTTCTAATGCTGCTTTACTATCTGATTTCCTACTACATGTTCTATTTACTTGAACTCAAATTCAAAATAAAGCCTAAAACCTTTACCATACAAATAAGAATCCCCCACAGAGATTTAATAGCAAGGAATTTCTTTGATGGATTGATTTTACTTTTCTTGTGTCCTGCACTCCAATCTGTCAAAGACAACTAAAAAAAAAAAAATAAAATCACTATTTATCTCTCACCTGTACGCATATAAGTTGTGGGTAGCACTTGCAATTTTCTTATTCTCATACAATTTTTCAAGAACTCTCTTTACCTTTAAAAAAAACACAGAAAAAATGGGGATTTCATACAGACTATCTCAGTATCACTGCTAAACAAACATCTCCTCCTTAACAGTATAAAGGAAGTTTTACACTTTGACATAAAATGAATTAGGTACTCAGTATGGTAACTCAAATGCAGCTTCTTGGTACCCTCATGGAAGGATCAAATCGTTTTTCTAGGATACTGAAAACAGCTGTTCCTTGAATTTCTACGTTGTGTGCATTCATGCTCTTGCTCAAGATGCAGGAGCATCAAATCACTGTACTAAACAGGAGATACAGTAAGATCTAGAGAACATTTTTAGTATTAAGTGTCAATTACACTTGCTTACTTCTTTCAACTACAGCATTATAGCTTTCCCATTACACACTGCTTTTAGCTATTTCACAAAAACATGGTGTTTCGAAAGCTCTACTACACCTCATTTTGAGTTTTTCCTTTTTATTCAAACATACTTCTTTTCCAGAGTTTCCATTTCACAGAAAGAATAATAAAAATGGGTCTGAAAGTGTCAGTATTTCCCAGAAAAGAGATATTCCCACCATGTCCATCCCTCTGCTCCTAAGAACTACCAAACCCAAAACACTTATCAGTATCAGTGTATCTTTTGATTCTGATTAAACAAGCTACCAATCGTTCCACAATTCCTAATCTGGTCTAGCAAAAAGGAGAGCTTTGATCAATACATTGGTTTATTACATAATACAGAATTAGGATTACTTTGAGCAAAACATTACTGAAGTTGAGAAAGCTTGGGAAAACATGCTCGGCAAGTAAATTGCCTTCCACTCCAAAGAAAAAATGTGTCTGAGGAATAGTCAATCTACATATTTAAATCCTATCTTAGCTATACTGTGCTATTTCCAATTCTTCTGGAGGATATTCAACTTGCTCAAGTCACCTCAAATACAAGATACCTCAATGAAAAAGATCCTACTATTAACGGAGAACATTGGTTTCTCCTTTTTTTTCCCCCTAAAAGGAACTATTGAAGAAAGACACCTTATATCACTCAATACACAGACTTAGGGTACAAAGCACTGAAATGATCATCACCTTTGACATTCGTTATTTGTCAGCTATTAGGCTCTTAAAAAAAACCCACAAGATGCTGAAACAACAGATCAGGTCTCAGTCCCACCTTGCTAAATCAATGGCAAGTCCAAGAATCACATACATTTTAACTGCCAGAATAAGCCAAATTGAGACAAGGCAAAACAATAGTACCACATACAGCCTGCTACCTGAAATGTGTCTGGGACTTTCTTTGCCCCACGAGGTTCATGGCGACATTTGCTGTTACCTCCGTAACTACAGTATTACTCTGGCTATCATTACTGAAAACTACCTTAGAAGTAAGGTTCCATGATTAAAAATGCTGAATAAAAGAATTTACACAGCAATATGCTTAATGTCTTAAAATATCAGTGACTATCACTGCAGCATACAGATTATGCAGAGCACGTACTCATCTCTCCAGCTAATAAAGAAGGCTAACTTTCACTACAGATGCAGTGCTTACCCCATTCCTCACCTCTTCCGAGTTTTTTTGAGAAAAATGACTCTACACCACAGTAAAGCTTCCCTGCAGTCTGAAGGCCAGTCCCCTTACACTGTACAGCAAGAATCTGTGAAACAAGATGGATCTGACACCTGGGGAATTGCCCTGTCTTTATACTAACTACACACCAATAAGTCCTGACTGGAAATTCCTAAGTTTATCTGGTATATGCCGACTTTAAAAAAATCCCACAAGAAAACATTAAGAATATCTTTGCATGCAAAAGGGGAATTACTAACCTGCTTTAAATGAGCAATATTTCTTGATACAGACATGCCCTTTTGGAAACCCATGTCTGTGGACAGAGACTTCATAAGTAGGAACACTCTTACTCATAAATCATTATCAAAGAGCGGGAGGTGGGATTTTTTTTTTTTCTGAGTGAGAAAAGGGCATTAAGCCAATGATTCCAACTTCTCCCCTTTCTAATGCAACACAGTTCATAGGGACTGAGAACAGCTAAGGAAGGCCCTGAAGTGCAGTGCTACTTTAATGAAAGTGGTAGTGTACTGAGTATTTTAAAACACTGAGTTATTCCACATGAACCTAAGGAATAAAATTACTTTCACTTTGCAAGCAGAAAAAGAACAGCTCAAAAAAGCTGAAAGTGTGTTCAAAAAAGCTCAAGTTGTATCCAGGTAGAGAAGAACAAGATAGATGACAAGAAAGATGAGAAAAGCACAGCACAGTTTTGAAGGTGTAAAAACAGATAAATATAAAGAATCATCACTTAAAGAATAAACAGGTGTAGCACAAAAACCTAAATGAATGTACAATATATACGAACTTAAAAGGTCAGGGATGTATGATGTAGTGGAGTCTTAACACAGAATGAGGCTGAGCAAGCTGATAAAATGAATAGAAACAAATCAGCAAAACCGGATCACACCTATGCGAAAGTTCAAAGGAAATTGGTGTATGAAGCTGTTGAACAGTAACTGAAGTATCTCACCTACCAGTTAAAACTCTTACTGCAGCAGAAGGTGATTGATGCAATATCAGTATCTCAAAACTACTCCAGGGCAGATTCAGGAAATTAAAGACCAACAAGTCTTACGTCCACACTAGACAAACTAATGAGGGGGAAGCAAAACCCAAAAAACCAGACAGCTTAAAATCTTAGAGCTTTTGTATCAGGAAATATGCCTCAAAACCCTGTCAATCTCTCAACATTCTTTCAGAGTCACTGGGCATGTAGCAGATCTAGCTTACCTGGAATTTCAAAAAAAAAACATTTGACAAGATCCCTTACCAAAATTCTTAAAAGCTAGAACAGGATAAAAGGAAAGAGGAAAATCCTCTCAAGGTTTAACTCTCAGTTAATGGCAAGAAAAGATCAGTAGTGTCCCCACTGAACAGGAGTTACCAAAACAGATTGATGTTATAGATGCAGTGATATATGAAGTGACTATGAACTAGTTATTAGCATTTGCAAAAAGACACCTTGTGGTTAAAACAGACAGTTCTATGAAAACAGCAGATCAGTAGAGGTCCAAAAAGTAAACTGAAAGGTATTACACTAAGAAAAGGATACGGAAAACAGAAAAACCCCACACCAATATAAATCCTTGGAGTGACTTCATCTTCAGTGCCACGTACAGTTCCAGTCTGTATCTCAAGAAGGTTACAGCATACATTACACGTATCAAAAGAGACTGGGAGTCTCCAGCCCAGAAAACAGAAAAATAATGTCTATAAAATAGGATAGATCTCTAAAAAAAAAAAAAACAACTGCACGGAGAAAGTGGAGAGGTACAGTGAAGTTATGAGTGATTCACAGCAAAAACAGGAGGGCATATTTTCAGACAATGCTGTGGATTCTGAAAGTTAATTCTGCTGCAAGAAGCAAGAGGAGAATTTCCACAAAGGATTAGAAAAAATCCAAACAGTAATATTAAACACAAGGATATTTTCTTTACATTGTGTTAAACTGCTGAAAGATGGGAAGCATGATGGGAAACAAAATGTAGCTGCCCTCTTCTAGCACTCTGTCTAGTTCTATATCACCAATGATTCCAATAAGAGACAAGAACTCATGCAGACACATTTTCTAGTTGTAGGCAAATACAATTCTAGAAGCAAGCTTGCCCCTCTCACTTAGGTCTCAATAAAGATTTACATATGCATTACCCAAGTGTATTTTTCAACAGAACACCTTTCTGAAGGAGGAAAAACTTCTATAAACTCATTTTAATTCATTTTCCAAGTTACACATGGTAGACACAGTAGCTGCCAAATACCTTATGATAAACTTATCAACATCCATAAGTCAAATTTTGATGTTCTTATTCTCTGTCTTACATCTAATGGATTTAATGGTGAAGAACAGCAATATCTACCCACTTCAACAATGAAACTAGAAAACTACCTGGAAGCATTGCAGAGCTGATATTTAGAGCTATTTAGTGGAAGGTGAAAGTGAGAAACTGACAACTACTCAGACAATATTAGCACACAAACATGGAAAGACAAACAGACACATTAGGCTAATCCCAAGTATTCTGGTAATACTTTGTCAAGCTCAAAGTACAGACAAAAGAGTACAAGTGATCTCTACCAACTTGTCTAGGTGTCACCACAGGAGCTAGATGTGCCTGGAAAGTACTCCTTCGATCTGTGATTGGGTTTCCATGATGTATGGATGGCAGTTCTTCATCTATGGATCACAAAGAAGGAATGACTGGCTTGCTTTTAAGGGTACTGAAACAATGCATGTGCCTACATAAGTAAAGAATGTCTTGACTTTAAAGAAGGGATTTGTTAAATTTAAATATACAAGATGCCATACAGAACCACCAAAAATATGTCAGGGCTTTTTACAATTGTTATTAGTATTTATTATAAGTTTAATGTTAGTAATTTTACTCAAAAGCCAAGTAGAAAACCAGAATCTCAAAGCTATCTCTTGATAAATTGATAAATCTATCCTAAATTATTTCATCAGAATTAACAAAGGCCTATTTTTTACCTGCTTGACTTTCAGATGTAATGTAATTTAACATTTTAATTGGATCTTCCTGAGCGCATTGATAGTCTAGAAGAAAACCATCCCCATCACCTCCATCAACTTCTTCACTGGTTTTCTTAATATCTGGTTCTATAAAGACACAAGTAGTAGAATTTATTACACTGTTTTGGTGAGAAAAGATGAAATTTCAAACTCTTCTTCCCAGAAATCCCTGGCTTTCCCATTCAAAAGAGTTTGTCATTTAGAAGTACGAAATGCAGAACAGTAACATTAAATACAACAAACTCCAGAAATCCTTAGTCCAGTACTAACTGAAGTCTTGCTTAGAATTAGGAAGACAATACTCATGCTAAGGGATCCTCATATAACATCTTCTGTTTCAGTATTAATTAACTCTAGTTCTATGAAGAAAAAAAGAATAATGTTTACCACTTCCATTAAGCATTTACAACACTACCATTCATTTAATCTGAATTTAGAGATTAAAATGTTTCACAAGAACTCCAGGCATCTACTGGTCATTTGGGAAAATCATAGAGCTGTTGCTCGATTCTACTTAATGAAGTTATAAAATCGTTATACTGGAACATCTCTCTGGACATGCTTCGAGCACTCTGAAATTCCCAAAATCCTACTTCCTTCATGCACAGGATATATGAAAAATAATAGTAAACAGCAAAAGAGTAAATATCACACATAGTCGGTGCTCTGGTAACTGGATTTAGGAGGAATCAACCATACAGACAAGTTACCATACCACAATCTAATTTCCTATTTAGAGGGCCTATGATGCGGTGACGGTGCATGTTTTGTAACATGGGAATTTTCAATAAAAAAAGCAGAGGGGTAAACACAGCATGCTCAAAAGACCTCAAAAGACCATTAGATGTATTAAGTAGAAGTCACAAGGTTGTTGTCAAAATATCCAATAAACTTCCAATATTGTCTGTAAAACTTTCACTTCTCAGTATCCACTCCTTTAGGCATGTCAATGAAAAATTACTCCTGAAATTTCTATGATGCACACCAAAATGAGCAGTTTATTGAAAGACTAAAACTGACCTCACTCTGAAGAAGCACTAAAAATATACTGGGTTTTTTTCCCCCTCCTTAGTCCTTTATTCCTCACAGGACTAAGCTAATATCCACAACAGAAAAATACCTCTATTCTTTTTCACCACAAGTGCATGCATGCACGTCACTCAGGCATTTCATAGCCGTTTAGCATTTTAATGCACAAAATACCTCACAAAAAAACCCACCACTTTCTGAAAGAACAACTGTGAATTTACACAAACTCGATCACTGTAAGAGTAGCATCAGAAGAATCACTGCAACTCTAGTGATGATGTACTTCTCATCCCAATATAGTGAAATGTAGGCAAGATGGAATACTTCGTCATTTGTCTGCAAATGACACTGAAGTTTATCTTCTCTTGAGACTGACTAATCCCAGTCCTCCAAGAGTGCACTCAACACCAGAAATTAATTACTGACATGAGTGATTCCTTTGCAGAACAGAGGACAATGCATAACGTACCTGCACAAAGCACTCTCCTTTCAAGTAGGCGATTTAATTCCTGAAAGAACTGAGGACCTTGTTATAGTTCAGTGAGGCCACCCCTTTCTTTATTTTCCCCTATTGTTTTACAGGGATAGCTTCCCTTTTAAAAAATAATAAGCCATGACACTGAAGACTGTTGTTTTCTGTTACTTTGATCCAATATAAAACTGGGCGTAAAGCTCTAAGCTGTAAGGAAATCTTACTTTGCAGTTGAACAAGAAGCAAAGTGAAAAACTCATGTATTTTCTGAAGTACCTGGATCTGATGACTGTGCCTTTTCTACCAGAACTTCTCGTATCTTCTCCACCCATAAATAAAGTATACTTTCACCAAGGTTCTGTCTGGAAGTTAAAAATCACAGTGAATGAAAAGTCATTTTTTAGATTTCACTTGGAAGATACACCAAATAACAGAGAGATTTCAGACATGCAGAAACAGAACGTTACATCTAGTGAGACAAAGAGCTTAGACAGGCTTGTGGGAAGTTCTGTCTCAGCAGTTCACTGGGTGAAACGCATGATACCTGCATCATTATATACCCTCTTTGTGGCTTGCTTTTTTTTTTAATATAATAAAAATTAAAAGTACCAATGCTGGGGGAAAACAAGCAACTGACAAACTTTCTGGCCACTAAAGAAAGGGAAAGCAACCGTGAAAAGTCATTTGGACAGTCCTCAGTATTTTCAAAAGAATACTAAGCCATGACGTTTAGCCTTAGAGCTTACTCTGGATCAGTTTTCTCTCAAAAACTACAAGTTCTGCCAGTGGTGAGCTCCTTCAGCCACTCTGTGGCTGTAAAAAAAGTTCATGTGTGGGAGAGCAGCTCTTCCATGGAAGAGCCCAACTTCTCCTCCCCCTCACGCAGTCAATGCACACAGAGCAAAGGCTGATCATGGGTGGATCGTGACAGTGGGTCAGCAGTAGCAGACACAGTGGAGCGCTGGAGTTTGGGTAACAAGCAGTCCTACAGGACAGAGAGGTAAGAATTTAGGTCTAGGAGTCCTTAGTCGGGGGGCACAGGTGTGCATTAAGGTACTGGGGAAGAATGGGATGAACGTGGGGTTTTTTATGTGCACACTCAGAGTTAAGAAGCTCCGCCTTAATGTGCGGCAAGACCCAAATAACCCAAAATATATTTAAAACGGTGTCCTAAGAAGTTGCCTTTGTAAACATATCAAGATATACTTACAAACTGTGCACGTCTGCCTCAGAAACAAAACTAACTGTAGGCAACTCATGGTTTCTCTTTACTTTTATTCTTACTGCCACCATCTGGGGCAGCATGTAAGTACATAGCAGTTATGACATTTTTTAACTCTTACTTTGCTTAATGTATACAGCACTATTTCTGAATACAATCAGAAATTCAAACAAATATAGACATTTTAAGAAGAATATTCAAGCAAACATCAGGAATCTGTAACCCTGTAGCTCCGCCTTCAAAACCCGCACAGACTCCAGAACAATTCAATGCCCCGATTTCATGGCGCTTCTTATCATGTATTAAAGTAGTGCTTGTGTACGAAGAACCATTTGTTTCAGTGATGGAATGAGAGAGATTAGACAATGAATAAGATTCCTCTGTTGCATGCAAGTCATAGCAATATCTTGAGCTATAACCCAATTTCAGTTTCTGCCTCTTGGCAAGTTACACTTAGTCTCAAAGGTTACCTTTCTACATGGCTATTTTTCTTGTTACTTGTGTCTAAGCCATGAAACAAGCCTCTCTATTGAATACAAGTCTTACCAGAAGAATATCTGGAGAAAAAAAAAAAAAACACACCACCTCCGAATATTTGCTACATTTTTGACTTTTAAGAACTTTGGGTCTCCCAAGACAGACTTGTCATCTATGATTATCTGCTTTTTCCACCTCCTTGAGAAGACATTGACCAACAACATAGTTGATATTGGTTTAGATGCAATTTGGATCACTAGGGACTAGAAACCTGGTCAAACACACAATGTAAATTATGCAGAATGCCTCCGTTTACCTGACAACTATTTAGACACTGGATAGACACAAGGCTTTCACAAACACTGCGCACATCACTGACTAGACAATTTAAAACTTTCTGGAGTAAAATTACATATATGGCCTAAAGTACAAATGCATTAACTCCCTGCTGGACAAACAAAGTGTCAGGACAGCAGTGAGGGTTCTGAAAAGCGACTACTATAGACAGAACAGAGTGCAAAGGACTGATCTAACTAGCACAATTTAACAACCTACAAGACTGCAGGGGGAAAGAAAATAAAAGGGGGGGGGGGACGGACCAAAAACAACCCCCACAAAACTGCTTCACAATCATGCTATTCCTCCAGATGATCAGGATGGTTAAGGAACCACCTACAGCAGCTCCACCTCTGCTACAGACTCCAGAAAATCCTATAGATCTGAGCAATCTCTGTCCTTTTTGCTCCACTAACTAACTGGGGTCAATATGATCCCATAGAAGTCTTCACTTAAAATCCTTGTTCATTTTTAACATTTCAAACTCAATTTTACTTGCTTAAAATATCTGTTGCTTAATTAGATAAGAAACCCAGCTAATGAAAGTAACTGAGTAATTAGATAAAAAACCCTCATGCAAGCTAAGTGCTCTCTCCCTTATTTTATGGCATTAGAAAACATTTCTTACTCAAGATGATCAGATTTCAGTGTTTTGGGCATGATTGTGCTTCCCTATAACATATTTTCACTTTGTTTAGTTTGTATTATCTTTGGGATCTGAAAGAATTAAATAAACCATATAAAATTACTACTCCAGTTTCACAGCAATTCAAAAACATATGAGTATTTCTAAATGTTACGTTTATTCTCAAGCATTCATTATGAGTTGCTGTTAGCTGCACATGATGGTAATAAACTACATTACAGATTCTAGTTAATAGATTCTACATGCATTTGATTTGTTTTAAAACCTACTTATCCCTTAGCTACCTTTTAGAAAAAACTGTTTTGCCACTTATGCTCTAAGACACGAACAAATGCTTTCACATCACATCCTGCAGTTTACCATTCAAATGCAGAATAGATGCAGAAATCTCAGACTTCATGCACTAATTCATAAGCAATCTCCTAGATTCTAGGAAGTCACATATTAGGAGGCAAAATTAAGACATCCATCCTTATAGAACATCAAGTCTAAACAACATAAAAGAAGTATGTGGGAGTTTAACATAATTTGTTCTTGCAAAATGCTCAGTAAATACACAGCATCTTTAACTGTTAGATTTAGAGAAGAAACTTGCTGGTTAATGGCTATTGCAGCAATCACTTCACAACTAGTAGTTCATGCAGGTACTTAAAAGCATACATTGAGCAGGTCATGAAACTGAAAATACAGTGTCTCCTTTTACTATATTCCAGAGTCTCTAACTTACACATATATTTCTTCCAAGCTATTTGCTAGTTCTGTATAATCTTGTCCTCGGAGCCAAGGGGCACTAGAATAAGAAGAAATAAAATTAAAACGGTGCCCATATGCTGACTCCAACATCTCTATGAACGTTGATTTTAAAATAAATGGAATAAACACCTTGAAAATTAAACACTGTCAATCACTCCCACTTAACAAGATTCCAGTTGTAAACATCTTAGTCAAAGCATGATCACACAGTTCTCCTTCAAGACTCCTAACTTGGGCTGCCTTTTCTTACCTCAGGTAAGAAAGCTGGACTCCTTTTTCATGGTCAGCCACTGCCACCCCAGAGTCACCTTACACCTTATTAGTTTACCTTTCCAACTCCTTCAGCACCCCAGTACTCAATATATTTAGAATGACCCTTCAGTTCAGTACCTGTATCCTCCTGGTCTCATGTTAACTATAAACTTTCCCTCAAGTTTATCAGCACTGTTTTCGTTGGCTTGTCACTACTGCTGACAAAATTCAGTAGACGTGCTGCCTGTCATGCCCTGCAGGTCCCTCCACCATCCAAATCAGGGACCCGGCTTACACATCTCCATTCCCATCTCAGCTACATGCCAGGAGACAAGGGGAGAACAGAAAAGGAAAACAGGAAGATGGCTCCATCCCAATAACAGGAGTCAGTGCTTAGATGAATGCTTTACAATCCGAAACAAGGATCCAGACAAGAGGGGTACACCCAAGGAAGCAATGCCACATCACTGTTGAACACAACAGGCAGCAGCCACCATACCTCCAGAGTCTAACTCTTGTCTTCCCACAAAACAATGCTGCAAGAATTACAGTTGAGGGAAGAGAGCGAAGTGTCATGGGGACCTCCATAAGGCTAACTCGGGCGAAAAAATACAATATTCTTGCCTGAAACATCCCCCATCCCTGATATAGTTTAATTCAAGGAGTCACCCTAACTAAATTTCAACTTACACTATAAACAATTAAACAATGGTAATTTAGAACACAAATGTTCAAAACAAAATAACTCTCAACAAGAAATTTCACTTACTTTAGTTGATAAATAGGTGGTTCTGCAGTTGGATAACCTGGCGGCAAAATCACCTGAAAGAAATTCAGGATAAGTATTCGCTCCTTTCAGCTAGCCGAGCTTTACTGATGGACTGGGATGTTGAGCAGGAGGACTAAAATCACTGTTACAATGAAGAAAATAGTTGGCTACATCGTTACAGAATGACAAGAAAAGCCGAATAGCTGTATTTAGGATTTCAATAACGGTAACAAGTACAAATACTGTATTTCATGGTGCAATTTTTATGGATGAAGTCTCATGCAAAATAAAGCGCAGAAGAAATTTGAAAGGAGCTGCATAGATGGGTACTGGTCTTCTTTAAGTGGCACTGCACTTCGTAAGTAGATGTTTCAGTGTTTCTTCCACGAAGTAAACTTACTGTTTTCAGTTCTGTAAATGTAAATTCGCAAATTACCCACTTAACTTGATCCAAATTTAATTTTGTCGCTACGCTTCCCAGAAAGTTAACCTAGAAGCAACTGCAGCAGATTCACTAAGGTGTCCTACACAAAGCCAATGTAAAAAATATTTTTAAAATTAGCCTTTGGAGAAAAAGGCTGAAATGACTTTTTGTCAATTGTGGAATTAGGATATGTAACTACTGAAAATGTCACAAGCACACTGATGTGTTACAGGAACAATCACTGAAAAGTCTACCACAGATTCCAATCCAAAACCTCCTTAATCCATCTGAGTAGGTAATAAGATTTTGCCTGTATCAGTGCAACCACAAGTTCTGTTCCAAACTCCTTAACATCACTATACCTGCAGACAGAGGGTCCATTTTGGTTGATGCAGACAATCCTTAATCTTAATGCAGTAGATTTTTTCATCTTCATCAACAACACACCAGTCTTCACCATATATGGATGAAAGAGCTTCAATTTCATCGATCTACAAAAAACATTATGCAAAAATAAACCAACTGCCCCAAAGCCCACAACCTTGTGTGAAAACCACAGTTTTAAGCCTTGCTCTTCTACAGCTTATTTACAAATGTGATGAGATTCACTACACTGGAAGGCCAGAAGTACTGAGGATCCAGCCCCGATTCATAGCGTCAGTAAACTTTGCTCAGTTCTTCCATACACACACCAGCTTTTGCATTTCTATGAGATTTCTGTAACTCTCAGCAGTGACACGGTGAGCAAAGTGACACGGAGTCGCTGCAACACACCCCTGCAGCTGCCAGCCAGTGCCGCTCCCGGCTTGGTCAGCCCCCCGCAGGAGACAGACCCCTGAGGCCTTGGCACTAGTCCCTACGAAGACTGAATGAATCTATCCAGCGAATTCCCGTCACAACCGCACAGCCACCTTCCACCTGAAGCGGCTCTTCAGTGCAAATGTGCAGTCACTCGTCGGTGTCCGAACAAAGACGGTCGCGCTGTCCCTTGGACGGCACGGCGGCCCGCGGGCACGGAGCTCCTCGCAAGGCCGGCGTTCACCAGAAGCCACTTAAAGCCACGGCTCCCGCCGCGGCGCTCATACTGCCAGCCCGGGGACGCCTCGGCCCGGCCCAGCGGGACTGGGACACCCCGAGGGCACAACGCATTGCCCTCCTCACCCCACCGCCGCTCACTTGTTGCTGAGCCGTGTCCGCGTCACCCGCCGCCATCGGCACCTGTGGGTAACGGCAGTGCGCGAGCCCGCATGCGCCGAGGGGAGAGTTTGCGCAGTAGTGGAGGTGAAGCTGCCTGCCCTTCCCTCCGCCAGCACACCTGTCCCGCTGACGCATGCGCAGTACTTGTCAGTGGGGCTGCGATACTGTCGGCGCACAAGCTGGTATCAGAGCGGATGGCTGCAGGGTGCGTCTCTCTGTGGGCGGTGTGTCCGTGTGGTCGCTGCTGCGTCCCAGAGCCCGGATCTCAGCTGGCGAAGGGATCGAGAGGACAGAGCTGCTGGGACTCCTCCTGCCGGCCCAAGGCGAGTGGGCTACCTCTGCCTGAGGCGCTACCATAGGCCTCCCTGCCCTGCCCCGGTTCCCTCCGGCCTGGCTGTGCTTACCTAGCTTGTCTCAGCATCCACTGCCTTCCATTCCTGTGGCCTGTGTTTCTTACGTGCAAACGTTGTGCCTTAGAGCAGGGCCATCCCCTGGCCCAAAGAGAACAAAGCATAGCTACATCCAAACCTGACTCCCAAATAGCTATCCTAGTAGTTCCTCTTCCATCTTCCATCCCAGGTGTGCTGCCATTCAGTTCACCTGAACCATCCTTCTGTGTTTGAAAAAGAATGAGTGATCTCATTTATGTATCCAGGTTAGGTTTAATTGCTGTGCCAAGTAAAGGAGGCTTAACATGTCCCTACGGTAAGAGCCCAAATAACTGGGTCAAGATGTAGCACTAATAAATTGTTACAAAATCTACTTCTGTCATGCATTGCCAAAGTCCAGATTACACTTGCCAGGTGGTATTTTTGCCTTATTCATTACATCCAATTTTTAAGTGGATAAGCAGCTACGTTTCAGTGACAATTTTACAGAAACAGTCGTTTTTACCTTGCGTTTATGTCACTCAAAATGAGTGATTGGCATACTTATAACTACATAATTTCTTCTAAAAAAGGATGAAAAAAGAAAAGTCACGGGTGTTCCCAGCATTTTCATTACAGGTATAGAAATGCAGCTCATTTATTTAACATTGTCAAGTTTTATGTATCTCTTTTAAAGACAGCCCTGATCAGTGAAGATCTCTCTTGGCTTGAGTGTAAAGTATGGGTGCCATCTTCTTTGCAGTTCATATCTTTTCTTCCAATGTGTTTTTATAATGACTTCGTGGTGAAGAATTCAAGGTAAGCTTTGCTTTCTCCTTTGGCAAAAGCTGAGCGAGTCTGCACCTGCTCTGGAGAAGAGGACTAGAGTTCAGACCGATGTGACAAACAGGGGACACATACTCAAAACCACTGCAACAAAAAAAGAAAAACAAACAAACAAGGATGCAGTGTCTAGAGACAAACCCAGCACCGTATTTTCAATTACATACATTCAGGGTGGAGAACTACTGGTTACAGAGCAGTTCCACAAAAACAGTTTGGGACTTATATTGAATCCCAAGCTAAGCGTTTGCCAAAATAGTCATGCTTTTGCTTAAAATAGAACCATCATACCTGGCATGTCCAAACACGTGACGTAATGTAAGACCTGTGAGGTAATCCTGCTTTGTGTGGGACTGCTAAAACCCCAGCTGGAATTCTGTGTCCAACTTCAGACACTTCAAGAAAGATGTGCACTAACTGAAGTGTGGATTAAAGCAATTAAGTCAATCGCAAATCTAGAAAGCCTGACATCTGAAAAGACTGGAGAGAAGGAATTCGCTAGCTTAAAGACAAGTCAGAGAGGTAGCATCCTTAATATGCTACAGATTGCTGCAGAGCAGAGAATACAGTTTTTCTCCCTCTCAGATGTAGAAAATATGTGAAGTCCAAAGACTGATTTGGATGTTGGAGAGATTCAAATCAGATGCTACAGAGAATTTGTCAACACTGAAGTCAGTCATGCTGAGTGAGGGGAGGGGTTGATCCTTATTTACACACAGGCTGTTGGAAAGACAGACACCATACTGTGTGCTGATGAAGCAACATGTTACCTTACATTGCAGGAAGGAAGACTCAGATAATGATGAGGAAAAGCTAAGGACCGAGTTTATTGAGCCATCGCCAATGGAAGGTCTAAGAGAGGTTAGGCCTGGAAATATTTAATCTTAATTTTTGGACAAGAAAATAGATCGCTGTGAAAGCAGTAATTCCTAGGAAGCTGATGTGAATGTATTCTTGGGCTTGTAGTTCTATTGGAAATTGGGTTACCACTATTGATTATGACCTTGAGGGCAAAAAGATGACAGAGATGGTAAAGAAGGCAAAATTTGGTTCCATATTCAGACCTAGATTTGAGAAAATATTAGTTTTTATACTCTTAGTTTGGCACCTGTATTTTATGTAATTGGGTTTTGGAAGCATCTGAGAACATGCATGGTTTTATATGCACATGTGAACTTAATGAACAATGCTACTGATGCTATCTGAGCCCAAAATCTTAAATCCCACATTCAGATTACAGGGACAGAAGTTTGAAAAAAACTTGGTTTTTTTCTAAGTTTAACCAATCTATAGTGATTAAAACAAAAATAAAATAGAGCTCTACCCTGATGCTGAGTACCAATATAGCTAAATGCGTAACCTTACAGTTGTGAGATTATAGACACTTAAGGTTGTTCCATATTTGATTACTGGAAAAGTAGTTTTTTTCAAAAACAGTGAAGCTCCTTTGTCTTCTGTGTCATGGACAAAGTTCGTTTAAGTATTTTTGAAACAATAGTAAAAAGAATGTACCCAGTCTCAGAACATGACAAAAATGCACATTTTATCAGGCATAGTCATATATTCCATTTAATTTTTAAAAAGGCAAGCAAGAGAGAAAGGGATTTTTAAAAACAATTTCCTTCTGACCAAAACATAACAGAAAACTTTCCTCTACAATGACCTAGGAAAGAAGGTGCTGCATTTGTTCATCCTAATTTCCCCTATAAATTTAAAGAAAGAACTATGGTGCTACAAGACATTTTTTAACTTTCTGATAGCAACCCTAAATAGTGCTTGTGCTCTATAAATTGCTAGTTTTGACTTAGCTGAACAAATGAGTTTACACAACTATACACATTATTTGCTATTCAATAACTTAAAGTTGTTATTGATTGACATGTTTTTATGACTGTTCTTTCCTATAATCCATATACAAGCATTGATGTGAAGGAGCTTAGTGACCCACCATTGGGCCAGGAAGAAACTGTACTGGATAAAAAGACACAAAGAATAAATCACAAAAACTGTACGGATTGTAGACATCTCTAACAGATTCTGAGGACTCCGTCATTTCCTTTCATTGTCAGTTTGTTGGATTGTAGACATTAACAGATTCTGAGGACTCTGTCATTTCCTTTCATTGTCAGTTTGTGGTAGTCTTATTATTTGAAATGAGACCAATGAGGTTAATGAATCTCCAACATGTTTATGTATATTAAATTAGTAAGAGTAGCTGAATTGCTATGGTGCACCAGGGTATTTAACAGCTAATTAATTTCTTTATTAAATTCTATTAAAGTAGGATATGAAATACACAGCAATAGCTTTCAAACTTGGGATACCAGCATAGTAGAGTTTACTGAAATATTTGGGGTCTTCTTTTAGTACACAACTGAACCTCACTGTTCTTACTAGTGAGGCATGTCCCAAACTGGTACTCTTCACAGCAGTGCATGAACTTTGCCATTTAAAATGGTTACTCAATCTAACCTTTGCTCCATCAGTTCTGACTTTGTGAACTATAGATAGCAAATGAAAACATTTAAAGCTCAAATCAGTTAAGCAAAAGAAGACCCTGAAGATCAGAAAGGGGCCCAAATTACTGCAAGGAATTCAAATTCTTTGTTCTGTCTTGTCAGGGCAAGATAATACACTGGGTAATTACTGATGCCTTTCTGGAACCAGTCTCTAATCCTAGAGCACAAGAAGTTTAAACCAGATACCAATATTATTCATATAGTTAAGGAAGCAATATTTACACAGAAAGCATAAATGAGAAGAACGTTATTCACATGCAATGCATGTAAAAGCTACCAACAATTTTAAAAGAAAATATTTTTAAAAATTCAGAAATGCTTTTTGATTTAATGAACTACTACTGATATTCTACTACCAAATCTGTCCAGAGGGGGGAGGTAAATAGCCATATTTTTATGTTCCTTTAAGAAAAAAGGAACTAGCTGAAAGCACTTGTTTTCACTGTGTATGCAACGAGCTCGTGTGAGCTTTAGGCGTTGCAAAGTCTTTAATCTCCACCAGTCGTTCTTGTAACTTCATGATCCAAACGTAATGAACTTTAGCTTTGCATCATAAACCAAGGTGTTACATAAATTATATTAGGAAGAAAGTACAGAGTTTGACAGCCTGAAGTAAATGCTAATTAGGAATAAAATGTCACAATTGATATGAGTGAAGAAGTAAGAATTACACATAAACATACATCAGGAAATCTTAGCCTCACTAGCGCTGATGGGAGTTTGACTATTAACTCTGATGGGGCCACAGTATGTCAACAGAGAAGGATGAATCAGGGTTGAGTAACAAATAAGAGAAATATGTAGAACTAAGAAATCTATACAAACTGAAACATTGGAGTAAGCTATCAATAACCCTGCTGATTTTGCATACAGCAGTTCAAGCAGCATGGTTGAACTTTTTTTTTATAAAAAAAGAGGAAGATTAAGGGTTCAAGCAGCATGGTGTATTTGCAACTTCTCTTTTATAAAAAAAGAGGAAGATTAAGAACAAATAAGGACAACATCATGTCATGTACGACCAAAGTGTCGTGGTTTAACCAGCACACAATGAATGCCCTCAGTTCTGTATTCTGAGCCGGATTTTCTACTGAGTCTCTGCCAGTGCTGTAGCTTTATCTTAATAACAGCTCAGTGAGAACATTTTGCTGTAGTAACTTACCAACAAAACACAAAATTTTCTCTAGTGTTCTAATTGCTTTCACTCTGCACCCAGTAAAAATCTTAATCCGGGCCATCCAATATGGAGCATATATACATTTAAGCACAAAGTGGTTCAGCTGATTTC